CACTTCCCTCCTACCACCACCTTCTTTGTAAATCCTGGCAACCATTACCTGTTCTCTATAGTTTTTTCATTTCAACAAATATTTCAATAGAATCTTACAGTATCAACTTTGGGATTTTTTTCTTATTCAGAATAACTCTTTGGAGATTCATCCATGTACTAATAGTACTAATAGCTACATGTACTAATAGCTTATTCCTTTTCATTGATAAGTATTATTCCATGGTATAAATGTACAACCATTTCTTTAGCCAATCACATGTTGAAGGACACCTGAATTGTTTCTAGTCTCAGTCTATTATGGATAGAGCTGCTATGAAATAAACATTGTGTATAGGTTTTATTTGTTTGTTTGTTTGTTTGTTTAAAATCTGGGATAAATGCCTAAGAGTTAAAATTGCGTGGCCATGTGTAGTTGTATGTTATGTTTTAAGACACTGTCAAACTTTTTTGGACTGGGTGTACCATTTTACATTATACCAACCAAAAACAAACCCACTGCCATCAAGTCAATTCCAACTCACAGTGACCCCCATTGGGTTTTCAAGGCTATCAATTTTTACAGAAGTAGATTGCCCCATCTTTCTTCTGCAGAGCAGGTGGTGGGTTTGAACCACTGACCTTTTGGTTAGGCAAATCCCTTATCCACTGAACCATCAGTGTTCCTTTTACATTACATCTGTAATATGTCAATGATCAAATAATATGTAAATGATCAAGTTTCTCCCCAACCTTGCCAACATCTGGTGTTGTCACTATGTTTTATTTTATTCTGGTGGTATGCAATTGTCTTGTGTTTTTAACTTGCATTTCCATATAGGGTAATGATACTGAACATTTTCTAAGTGCTTATTTGCCATCTGTATATTATCCTCTTTTGTGAAATGTCTCTTCCATACCTTTTGCCTGTTTTGTCATTGGCTTGTTTATTTTGTTATTGTTGAATTTTGAGAGTGCTTTATATATTTTAAATACTAGAATTTTTTTCAGATACATGGTTTGCAAATATTTTCTCTTATTATATACCTTATGTTTTCATCCTCTTAAGCTCTCTCACAAAGCAAAGTGTTTTTCATTTGGCTGAAGTCCAATTTATTAAATTTTCATTTTCTGGATCATGCTTTCAATATGAATTCTAAGAACTCTTTATATCTAACACGAGACCTCTAGGATCTTCCCCTACTTTTTCCTAATAGTTTCATAGTTTGACATTTTACATTTATATCTATGATCTATTGTAAGTTAACTTTTTTATTAGGTAGAGTTTCTTTTTTTTTCCCCCAGTTGCTGTAGCACCATTTATTGAACAGGCTATCACTGAATGGCTTTTGCACCTTGTCTAAAACCAGACAGACATACTTGTGTAGGTCTATTTCTGGGATCTCTGTTTTGTTACATTGATCTATATGGTCTATCCTTTTTGCTAATACCTACATACTCTTGATTTTTGTAACTATATAATAAGTCTTGAAATCAAGTACTCATTCCTCCCAGTTTATTTTTTTTTCAAAATTATTTTAGCTAATATATTTCCTTTTGTTTTCACTATAAGTTTTAAAATAATCTTGTCTATATCTACACAAAATCTTGCTGAGATTTTGCTAAGTATGTTAAACCCATGTATCGATTTGTAGATAACTGACATTTTTATTATGTTTAGTCTTCCAATTCATAAACATGGTATGTCTCTCCATTGGTTTAGATCTTCTCTGATTCCTTTCATCAATGTTTTGTAGTTTTCAGCATACAAGGCTGCATGTTTTGTTAGATTTATACAATTAAGTATTTTCAATTAAGTATTTTCTTTTTGTGTGAATGATGATTGCAATGGTATTTAATTTTGGTGTCTGGTGGCATAGTGCCTAAGGCATTTTTGTCTGCTAACCAGAAGACTGGCGGTTCAAACTCACCAGCCATTACTTGGAAGGAAGGCTGGGCAATCTACTTCTGTAGTGACACCGCCTTGGAAACTCACTGGGGGGTCGCTATGAGTCGGATCCGACTTGATGGCAGTAATTATGAATTTAATGATAGTATGTAAAAAAATGCAATTGATTGTTGTATGTTTAACTTGTATCCTGTGACTTTGCTAAACTCACTTACTAGTTTCTAGGAGATTTTTTTTTTTCCTGCAGCATCTTTAAGATTTTCTACCTAGACATTCACGTCATCTGCAAATAGTGAAAGCTTTATTTCTTCCTTGTTGGATTTGCATAATTTTTCTCTCTTTTTCTTTCCTTATTGCACCAGCTAGAAAATTTAGACCAGACACCTTTGCTTTGTTCCCAATCTTAGGGGTATGCATTATTTGGTCTTTCACCATTAAATATGTATCTTACAGATGATGCTCTTTATCAAAAGAGAAAGTTCCCTCCCGTTTCTAAGTTTCTGAGACTTTTTTATTATAAAGGATGCTGAATTTTGTCAAATGATTTCCTTATTTTGTCTGATATGATCATGTGACTTTTGTTCTGTCATCTTTTAATATGGTGTCTTACACTGATTTTCAGGCGCTGAACCAGATTTACATCCTTGGAATAAATTTCCCTTACTATGGTGCATTAAACTTTTGTATCCATTGTTGATTTCAATATTTGCTATCATTTTGTTAAGGACTCTTCCATTTTATAAGGGACATTGGCCTGTATTTTTCTTTATTTGTATTGTTTTGGTCTAGTTTTTGTATCAGGGTAACACAAGCTTCATAAAATAAATTGAGAAGTGTTCCCTCCCCTCTTTCATTTTCTGGAAGAGGTTGTGCAGATTTATTGTTAATTCTTCTATAAACATTTAATAGAATTTTCCAGTGAAACAATCTGGACATGGAAATTTATTTTCAGAGAGTTTTTATATATTCAATTTATTAATAGTTCTAGGGCTAGTATTAGTATTATTCAAATTATCCATTTCATGTTGAGGGAGCTGTGGTAGTCTATGTCTTTTAAGGAAGTAGTCTATTCTGTCTAAGTTGTCAAATGTATGTGTGTAGAACTGTTTATTGTATCTTTAATTATTCTTTTGATGCCTGCAGGGTCTATATCCTGCTTTGTATCTTATAGTAGTAATCTCTACTTTTTGGCCTTTCTTTTTTTAAATCAGTTTTACTATAAGTCTGTCAATTTTATTGATTTATTCAAAGGATCAGCTTTTTATTTCACTGAATTTCACTTTTTCTGTTTTCAATTTCATTAATTTCTCTTCTTCCTCCCTTCTGCTTGCTTTGGACTTATTTTGATCCTTTTTCTAAATTCTTGTGGTAGAAGCTTAAATTACTAATTTGAGACTCTTCCTTTTTTCTTAATATATGTATTTACCTATTATAAATTTTCCTTTCATCACTGCTTTAAGATATATTCTACAAATGCGGATACACTGTTTTCTTAGTTAACAAGTGCTACTGTCACAGAAATACCACAACTGGGTGGCTTTAACAAATGGAAATTTATTTTCTCACAGAAGGCTAGACATCCAAATTCAGGGCACTGGATCTAGGGGAAGAAAGGGTCCCTCTTTCTGTCCACTCTGAAAGAAAAAAGTCCTTGTCTCTTTCTAGCTTCTGCTGTTGGGCAATCATGTGACATGTTATCTTCCCCTCTCTTTGTGCTTGTTTGCTTACCTGCTTAATTGCTCTTTTATATATCAAAACCGTACTAAACACTAACACTATATATTGATTTGTCTCTCCTACTGAAATGTACATGCTAAGAGGGAAGGGACTTTTGCTTAGTTTCCAGTCCTTATCAGAGCATTTAGCACACAGCAAGCATTGCCAAAATATTAGGTGGATATTATGGATTAAATTGTCTCCCCAAAAATATGTGTTGTAAATCCTATTATATCTGTGGTTATAATCCCATCTGGAAATAGGGTTTTCTTTGTTAGGTTAATGAGATATTATTAGTGTAAACTGTGTTTTAAATGAATTTCTTTTGAGAAAATAAAAGAGCAGATTAAGTAAGCAGAGATGGAGGAAGACACATTCCAAGCCACATGAAGATCACCAAGGAACTAAGAACCAGCACAGAAAGGAAGCCTTCCTCTAGAGCCAGTGCCATGAATTTGGATTTATAGCCTCCTAAACTGAGATAAAATAAGTTTGGTCACTCAAGTTACCCACTTAGGATCTTTCTGTTACAGTAGCACTAGATAACTAGGATGATGTTGTTGTTGTTATATGCCGTCGAGTCAGCCCCGACTCATAGCGACCCCTCCTTGGGTTTCCGAGGCAGTATCACCACGGAAGTAGGATTGCCCAACCTTCCTTCCGAGGAGTGGCTGGTGGATTTGAACCGCCAGCCTTATGGTTAGCAGTCAAGTGCCTTAGGCACTATGCTACCAGAGCTCCTTAGATAACTAGGATAGTAGATGAATATTAGGATGGATAAACAGCATTTGAGGACTGTCCTGGTATGTCCTACTGCTTAATCTAAGCCTAAAAAACCAAAACATTTTTTTAATATACTCTTGTTTCTAGTTCTCTAGTATAAATTAGAAAGGTAAGTATATGTAGAAACGAGAGTTTACTCTTTTTAAAGATCATTGTTTAAAATAAAATTTAGGATAAACACCTAAAAGCCTGAAAAATAAAATATATGGACATTCTTTTACCCATGCAAAATGATGGCTGACTCCAAAATATTTCCACTATTCAAAAACTCAAATGTTTTCTAAAAATTAGGGCTAAACGCTAATCTCCCTATTTCAAATTAAAAACATTATCACAGTGCATCCTTAATTCAGTTGTACTCTGTTGTATTAAATATTTTCATATTCCTTAGATTTAATAATAATCAAGTACAATTAGTGCTCTCACAGGGCCCTTATATATTTGACATATATTGACATGTATTAAGTATTAACACACGTAATTCCAGAAAAACTTTACAAAAATGTAAGCAACTAGGAAATCTACTTTCCTTCAAAGCATATTTTTTATTAAACATTATTAAATACCTCCATATTTCTAATAAACACTTAAAATACATCTAAATTTTTCCTTACCTAGTTTTACAGGAAAGCCTGGAGGAAGTTTCATCTGAACAAATTCTCTAAGCTTGTTAAAGTGCTTGAAGGGAGCTATTACTTCTAAAACATTCAATAATCTGAAAATGGAAGAAAAATGTTTTTTTCATTGTTTAAATTATTTCTTTGTATCCTTATTTTTTAACTGTATGTTTCAAATCTAGATAATATCATAGCTTTTTAGCTACTAAGGATGAGGAAATCACTGTTCCTTCTTCCTCCTCTTTTTTTTTTTTTAACTATGTCAAGGTTTATAACTTCTAAATTTGACTGTGCAACAGTATTTCCACAGTTATTTGATTTTAGCTCTGTATTTCAATAGATTCAACACTTAAACATGTCTTCTTACTAATGTCTACACATCCTTTCTTCAAGCAAATTCATCATTTGGTTGGCTAGATTTCATTGTCAATTTCTTTTTGTGAAGAGCTCTTCTTACCTACTCAGTATACCCTGAATTCTCACACATTTGAAAAATAAGTGTTTCTTGTCTTTCTATTTACAGGGAAATTTGGTTGGCATAAAATTTCAGGTTATATTATCTTTCCCTCCAAATTCACAATGATATAATTTCGTATCTCCTAGCATTTCCTATTACAACAGTCATTACAAAACTTTTCTCATATTTGGTTGGATAGATTTCATTTTCAAGTAATATTAATTTTCTTTCAAGAAAGACTCATGGAAGCATATTTCTTGAACTATTTTGTGTCTATCTTCAGATATACTATCAGCTCACACGTTCTCTGCTTCAGAAATGCCAAAGTGAAAAAAATGTACAACCAAGCTGAATTTTTAACGCCTCTGGTAAATGATTTGCCTTTTCTGCCTGGATGTCTTTAGATTTCCTCATTAATTACTGAAGTCCTGTAATTTAACCAGGATAATTCTTATACCTGATCTTTCTGTATCAATTTTTCCTAGAAACTAATGTTGTTCTATAGATTCAGTTCTTCATGACAGAGAAACTTTCTTTATCATATTCTGAATACAATTTTGGTTACATTCTGGAGAATTTCTAGTTTAGGAACACCAATGATCCTTATACTTAGCCATCTATCCCTGTCCTCCCCATCTATTACTACTATAATTTTTTATAAAATCTTTTACCTCTGCATTCGCTATGATATGTCAAAATTTAATTTTCAGCTACATCTATTCTGTTCACTGTTGTTTGTAATGTATTTGTTTTGTAAAAATTCTGCTTAATCCTCAATTTATATCTTTCCTCTTTCAATCTTTATGAGAGCTGGGGTTGTGTCAACTTGGCTGGAACATAATTCTAAGTGATTTAAGCAGTTGTGATGCGGTTATTCCCATGATGAGGTCTGATGTATATGCTTTGTATAGCCAATCAGTCAAAAAGGAGTTTCTCTAGGGCCATGGCCTGTTTCAAATACAAAATGCACATCCTGGTAAAATTTGAGAACCTCCTGTGGATCTGGATCCTGTTGTGCTGCCTACAACTGTCCATGAGCAAACAATCCACCATTGTATTTGGTGATCTTAGATTCGTCATCTGCTGAAGTCAACAGCTATTATATTGCCTGCCAACCTTGAGCTTGTTAGCCCCTGCAGCTGTGTGAGTCAGGAAAAGCCTCTAGCTTGACATTTATTCCAGGAACTTGGGACTTGCCAAACTCTATAACTGTGTGACCCATTTTCCTAAGATAAATTTCTCTCTCTAAGCTTTACTGGTTTTGCTTCTCTACAGAACCCAGCCTAACACATTTGGTAACAGGACTGGAGTGCTGCTCTGACAGATACCTAAAATGTGGAAATAGAAGTGGAGTACATCCCTGACCCAAGAACCATGGCAGAGAGACCCTGGCAGAGAAACTGCAGCAGCAGAGCTGAGAGACTGGCATTAGACAGCAACAGCCCTTTCAGCCCATGGAGGAGAAAGCTGGATGCCACTGGGTAGGTGGCTTCCTGGCAGAGTGGGTTGCCTTCCAGCATTAACTGGAAGATACTGGCATGAAATGGAGTAACAGGTTGGCCGGCCCACAGAATAAGAAAGCTGAGTGCTTTTTTGGGCAGAAAGATTCCTGGCGGAGTGGGTGCCTTCAGTATTAACTGGCAGAAGCAGAGAAACCAGGGAAATGGGAAGCAGAGCTACCTAAGACTCAAAGGGTAGGGCCACGGCTTCTGGGAGTGGAACCACCATAGCCCCCTTCCAAAGACTCAGACCTTCATCATCTTCATTCTGGAGTGTGGGGCTAGTTGTTCATTTGTTCCAGTGGGTTGGAACCATAGCCATGCCCAAGAGATAGAAGAATGTGGCCTGCGAGGCCAATGGGGTGAGGTACCCACTATGATGAACTAGGGGACTAGAGCCACCCAGTGAAGAAGATCTGTACTGGTGCCACCCAATGAAGATCTGTACAGGTGTCAAGCTGACAAGGGGTGGAAATGTGACAGTTAAGGTTATGTGTCAACTTGGTTGGGCCTGGTTTTGAGATGTAGTTATTCCCTATGGTGAGACTGGTAATCATCTCCATGGTGGAATCTACTCGAGCAGCTGAGTAGCTGCCTTAAGGATGTGGTCTGCTTCCAGTATACAAGAAGAAGCATTGAGGAAAGTCTCTAGCTTATGGCATGCTTGAATCCTGCATGTAGCCAAGTCATTATTCAGTAGCTTGCCACATTGTCTGCTGATCTGGGGACTCTGCATGGGCTTGAATCAATGACCTACCATGTGGTTTGGTAATCTCAGGACTGTGCCTTTATACCTGTCGACCTTGGGTTTGTCAGCCTCAGCAGCCAGCAGCTGTCTGAGTGAAAAAAGCCTCCAACTCCAGTGGCCTGGGAGTAAGAGGCAGAGCTGAAGCTCAAGGTCGAGGGGCTTTCCACCCAGCCCCTAGAGCCTGGCACTTTTAACTCGGACTTCTACCCTCCAAAACTGTAAGAGATAACTCCTGTTTGCTAAACCCGTCAGCTGTAGTATTTTCTGTTAGAATGGAACCAAGTAACCAAAACAATCTCCTTTTCATTTTATTCTGTTGTTTTATCAGCTCATCTTAATGTACTCTGGTTTACTGATTTCATGTTCTTTTCATAATTTTCTATAGCATTTACAGAAATATTTTTTCTTTTCTTTTTTTTTTGGCCTATGCTTTATTTTAAAATGAGTTCCCCATCTGGCTTTTACATGCTATGTATTCTATATTTTACTTTTTTCAGAGAGAATGATTATAATGAAAATACTTTATCAATTATAAGATACCTATTTTTTCACATATTAACATCTCTGAAATCAGACAACTACTAAAATTGATGACATAATTAGTTGTATTTTTCATACATAGTAGAGTATAAAACAAGTGTGTCTTTGAGTCAATGGGATCCTAAATATAATGAACTATGGCCGACTGTACATATCACTAATTCTCTTTACACATTTCCTGAAAACTATCTACCTTCTTTGTGCTATAACTCAGGGACTCATAGTGCATTCTATCTACTTTTTTAAAGTGTGGGTATAGAGTGGAAGTGAGAGGTAGGGCTCAGCTAATGTTTCATGTGTGGACTTGAAAAATATGTCCTGCTCTCATCTCTTTGGGATTATTTTATTTAGTTAGTTTTTAATGTATTAATGTTTTAATTCTGCGTTGGAAGAGGAAGAATACAGACAGACAAAGTACCCAGGACTTCAAATTAAAGTCAGCACAAGCTACATTTTATCCATTCTAAACATCTCTCCACATTTAAGTTTTTCTTAAAGAGGCATCTGGTAAGGGCAGGTTTTACAGGATATATTCAGCATGTTAACTACAGTATTGTTTAGAATAGTGATAAAATGCAAAACAAAATGAAATACCAAAGAAAAAAGAAAGATGAAAGTGTAATTATGGTAAGAATTCGAATAAAAACTCACTTTAAAGTGAAAAAAAAGAAACTCACGTAATAAAACATATACTATTTCCCCATTTTTATAAAAACTATAAAACCACAGAGAAAAATAATCTGGTATTCACTATTCAGGAGTGAAAAAAAACTGCTACCTTTAATCTATAAACTTCCACACAGGTATTTATATATATATATATATATATATATATATATATAT